GCCGCCGCGCGGGGACCCTGCCCCCTCGGGGGACCGAGCGGCAGCGGCAGTGATCAGATCTGAGCTTTAAGCAAAACTTGGTTTTGGAGAAGTTCCAGCCCCTAGTCAGGTTTTGGAAAACTCCTGTGGCCCGTTTTAAGCTCGACGACTGCCTAACGCGTAATCTTTTCCGGTGAAGGTGGTGCCCCGACCCCTGCCGACGGTCGGGACGGCCGCGGACGCAGCGCGCGGCGTTTCCAGAAGCACCGGTGCGTGATTCTGCGGGGGGAGGTGTACTCACAGCGCCCGGCCCGCCGACGGGCCTTAATGTCACGGGCGGGAATGTGTGTGGATGTGATCTCAGAATAAAAAATCAGTTATCTAAAAGCTATTAGAACGCTCTCTACTTTCAACTCTGTATTTGTGTGAGGACGCGTTTTATTCGTATACTTCAGCTAAAGTAACATTGCGAGAGCTGGGATACGGGAGGTTATATAAGAAAACAGCTGCGTTCCGAGAAAACACAAACGCAGAAGTTAAAGAGGTTAGCACAAGTGTAAAACCGTTTCATTCTTCTCAAAGAATTGTTTAGAGAAGATTCTTTATAATAATGGTTTCAAACTTTTTGCCCACTTGGCAGGTAAGGAGTGGTACCATTATGTATTTCCAGTTTGCATTTATTTTATTATGAATAAAGCTATTATTTTCAAATGCTTAAAAGCCTTTTTTTTTTTTTTCTGTGAATGATATGTTTAAGCCTTTTACCCATTTTCCTCTACGTGGTTTTTGGGCTTCTTTCTTAATTTTAAGAGATACTCATCCATTGAAATCGTCACCCCCACCCCCTTCGTTATTACACAAGTTGCAGACATTCCTCTCTACTTGCACCGGGCCCTGGATTTGCTTCGCGTCTTTCCGTTTACTGCCGGGGTCCTGCAGCTTCCTTGTAGCTTCCCTCGTCCCCACGCCCTGCACACGTTCTAGACTATGTGACTGCAGAGAACTGAGTGGTCACAAAAACGAACAAGTTTACAAGCTCTGTCCTGGATGGCTCTATTCTATTTGACCTCTTACTAGTAGCAGTTTGGGTCCTTGACCAAAGTTCACCCTCCTTTGGAGCGTTTTCTTCTCTTTGTTATCAAGGTCACATATCTGACATCCCTCCCAATTTCCTGGCCTGTTTCTCAGAATCCTTCTTTGGTTTCACATCCTTTTGAACTTTTTAAGTTTTGGGGTGCTTCCAGGGTCAGTTCTAGTTTCTCATTCAAGTGTCTCCCTGGGTAATCACATTTATTTCCAAAAATTTAAGTACCACTCTCCAATTTAATAATCTACCTAGACAGACACTTCCGACGCATTTGCAATTAAATGGCTAATAAGTACCCCACATTAACATATCCAAAACACTGTTTTAGGTTTTCCACCAATACCTTTCTTCCTCCAAATCACTTTAAAATTCATTCCTTAAGAAGCATAGTTTAAACCACCATCATTCCATCATTTCCATTAGTTTATATTCAGCCCTGCCCCATTCTCAGGTCCAACTCCTATCATCTCAATAACCAAAATACTATTTTAAAACCTAAATTAGGTTTATAACAACCCTCCTTTGCATTTAAGATAAAATCCAAATGGCTAACCAAGTTCTAGATGGCATGGTCCCCTGCCCGACATCTAACCTCACCCATGGCTTTCCCCCAAGTGTGGATTCCAATGACGACAAATTCATCTGTGTCCTTTCTGCCGCCCCATCTGGCAATGCTTTTCTCTCAGGTTTTTCTAGCTCCTTCCTTCAGTTCTCCATTCAGACATCAGTCCTCAGAGAGGCCTTAAAATAACTGCCTTTCTGCCAGCCAGTCACATTATCTGATTTCCTTTGACTATGAACGTATTTATATATGACAAATTTATTCGTTGGTCACTCCAATGAAATAAGCTCCTTAGACGTTCCATCTATACCTGATATACTAGATGCTCAATAAATATTTTTAAAATTATTTTAAAAATCAGACCAGCACAAAGAAGAAATTAGAGAAGGGCAGATAGAATAGAGGTTAAATACTTTTACAGAAACCAAGAGAAAGTTAAGTTAGAGAATAATTTGTCTCCCTACTTTGTTGTCTATGTGCTAAGCTGAGACCTACCCTTAATCTTGTTCTAATTTTTTTCTTTGCCCTTGCTTTCTCACTTATTCTTTAATACCATTGCATTGCATTTGTATATATTTTAAGGCTTCAATAAATACTAAGATCAAGCTTAGGTATTTAATATAAAACCATGATTAAGGAAATGATCAGAAAAAAGCTTACCTTTGTAATCTTTAGTATTTCCTTCAGGGAAAACAGTGGGAACAATGGAGACTGAAAGGCTTTTATCAGTACAGCTTCTCTTTCAGCAGCTCCTCCCATCATCAGGTAGGAAAGCTGTAAAATTTCCCATATAATAAATCTAAGACAGGGGTTATCAAACTTAAGTAAGCATTAGAATCTTCTGAGTTTATTAAACATTTCTGGGCTCATCCCCAGAGTCTCTGGTTTGACAAACTAGGGTGGAGCCAATTTGCATTGTAACGAGCTCCTAGGGAATGGCTGACCCTGGTCGGGGGTTCCAGCCTTCTTGGAGGGGTGAATATTTTTGTGTTCTATCTCCAAGGTCTTATATCGTGCTCACCATATAGCAGCTCTTTAATAAGTTGTTGTTTTTGTTTTTTTTTAAATGATCCTCATGTATAATAAACAATTTTACTGGAAGAAATCCTTCTACAGGCCTTTACTCTGGAATCTCATTTTGTTTTTTCCCTTAGCCAGATCCTTTTAGCTTAAGCCATTAAATACTTTCACTAGAGAACGGCCTGATTTCATTGTGAGTTTCCAGAATGAAGGAAGTTATCATTTATGTTATTTGTAGGAAAAAAAATCAAGAGTATGGAATAACTTCCTGGCTAAGGAATGTTTCACAGATAGGAGGTCAGGGACAACAGGGGATAATTGCAGATAGTTCATAGTTGACCTCCTTGGAGAAGAAACCTGCACAGCTCTTTTTCTGGAAGGTATTTATTGTGTCAATTCTCTGCTAATCAAACTACAGTGATTTATTTGTTTATTTATTACCACAGTGTTATAGTGTGGTATGAAGCTAGGAAAATTCCAGGACAAGTGAAATAGGGAAACAGACAGTTAAACAGCAATTTGCAGCCACCTAGTAAATCCTATCTTCCCTAAACCAAGGACACTAGAGAGAGTAAATGGTTTGCATTTCTCCTTCCCAGCCAGAGGGTAAATCACTTAAATTGAAATCCAATTAGTGCCATTTTCCAACCACACCCAAGGACTGACAAATGAAGAGAATAGACCTCATTTTGGTATATCAGCATAAAGCTGATGAATATTCTATTGACTTACC